GGTATCATGCTTCCCACATCAGCTATCCCACTGAATAGTCACAACAGCCCTGTTTAGTAGGTATCACTTACACCATCATTTTCTAAATTAAAACAAGCCAACCAACCTGAGGCCTAGAAACTTTCCCCAAGTCACCCAACCAGGACGTTGTGGCGACAGGATTTGAACTCTTTCATAATAGAAAAATAGCCAGGAACAGTTAGTGAAAAATAAGTCTACAAGATCATGTAATAGAACCCACAGGTGATTAAAATGCAAAGACTAAAAAGATTCAAAGAAAATAAATCAGAATCCTATTTTGTTTTTGTTTCCAGATAGGATTGAGGACACATTTCTTCTGTTCCTTTATAACTTTGTGCACCAGACACACGGCTGTGGGTTCTCCAGCCAGTTCACTCTTGCGCTGGTCACATGAGAAGACGACATTTCCAGGCAGCCCTCGGGGCTTGTCTGCTGGTGTGACTCGTTGTGGCCCCTGGAACATGGGTGGGAGCCAGTGTGCTGCCTCTAGGCGGGGCCCCGGCTGTCTGCCCAGCATCCAGCAGATGATCCCAGGTCCCAGAGGACTGCAGGGCCCCACGAGGCAGTGGGGCCACTAAGGATACAGGCTAGACGCCTGGTCGCTGATGGAGGAAGAGCAGCCCAAGCAGTAGGCCTGGGAGGTGAATGAGAAAGAAACCTTCTATTGTGTCTGCTTCTCAGTTATGCTGCTGGGTTGCTGGTGGAATGGTAGTTTTAACTATCTAAACAAACACATAGACTTGCCACTTGAAAAAAAAAAGAAGCAGTCGAAATAAAATAAAGCAATGTTAGTTTTCTGGCTCAGGAATTCCAAACTTCACCTGTGATTGTCTTTTATTCCTTAACTCCCTTGAAATTCTATGACCCCCACCCCACCCCAGGCAGTAATAACACCAGAGCAGCAGCAACAATAAAAATTCACTCACTTTAGGTGCAGAGCTTCATGAATTTTGGTCACTATACATGGCCACGTGACCACGGGCGAGTTCTAGACCATTTCCATCACCCAGAAAGTTGCCTTGTGCTCCCCTGGTTGAGCCTCCCCCAGGCCCCCATCCCGGGCAGCCGCCGACCTGCTGCACTGTGTCTTGCCTTTCCCAGAGTTTTCTTATCGCTGGAATCACCCAGCTCCTAATATTCTCGACTGACTTATTTCGCTTCACTTAACATTTCTGAGATTCCTCCAAGTTGCTGCACATACTGATGTTCTGATCTGTTTCATTACTACGCTCCCTTCCCCTTGTCGGTAACGGAGTTCCCTCAGTACTCGCTGGGCACCCACTGCCAGTTAGAGACTACATTCCTTGGATGTGGCTGTAAAATTAAATTCACTCCAATGAGAAACAGGCAGGACTAACACGTGGTTTCCGGGCCGTCTCAGTGGCAAGTGTCCTGAGCGTCTCTTCCTGCTGGCTGGAGGATTTGATGGCTGGAGCTATCCTGGAAGCCACATCATGTTCAGGGAGGCAGGGCACCTCCATCGCCCTGGACACACTCACCTGCAGACTGATACAGGGGAAACAGGTTTATCTTTATCTTATTTAAGCCGCTGTATCTTGGATCTCTTCGTTACAGTAGCTAAGTAATCAGCCCAACAGACGCACTCCTCCGGCAACAGGGGCTATATTTACTCCTCTTTGTAACCTCACCATGACTCAGCTCGGTGGTTTATACTGGACAAGCTTTCAGTAGCTGTTTATTGGGATGAATACTGAATTAATGAATTCCATGTATGTTAGCCCTGAGAGAAATATTTAAAAGCTTAAAATCCCACAGAATTCTATTTTTCAAACGATATCAGACAAAATTCTGTTCTGCCAGGTTTGGCTTTGACACATTATAATCTGCCTAAAATTAAAGTTGGTAAAATGTAAAAAGTACAGAAAAGGAAATGACTATTTAAGATACACAATAAAAAAGAAAAAATAAATATAATATAAAGAGACATGACCTATATAATAATGCTTTGCTTTTTTTCCCGGTTTTTTAAAGTATCACAGAACTGTAAAATACAACAACCAAGGATAAATTGTGGCCTAAAAGTTTAAACTAATTTTACATACAAATTTATACTTTCTTCTTCCCAAGAAACGTTATCAACTTCCACATCAGCTAAGACATTGCTGGAAATACATGTTTCATAAAAAGTCACCAACAGGCACCAAAGATCCAATCCCCCACTGAAAAAACCTGATTCCCTGCTGACAAACGTCTGGGAAAACAATTCGTAAGTCTATCCTGCGTTCCTCGGGAAAACGAGTTGCGTGAAAAAATACAATGACTTTAGAAATGATATTTCATTCATCTCTAGTCACTGCAATTGAAGACTTAAGCCAGTTTCTTTTTTTTAAATGGCACACGAGTCAACAGAATTTCAGGTAGTTTCACAAATACTATTTTTAAAAGACTGCATCCTTGCTCATGGCTAAACTACTGCTTTGATGTTGTTACTTCTCAAATTGAAACTTTGTGATAAGACTTTTTAAAAAAATACAAAACCAAAGGAAATATAGGGGAGAGTCTAGGTGTCAGTATGTAAACACTGGTTTCGGGGCGGACACTATTGTGAGTGTCAGTGCCTTATTTATACCGGACGAGAAAAGCAACGAGCAGTCCATCCATTAGGAAATCCTGCAGAGCTCTCCCGAGATCTCACTCTGTTCGGCTCTAAGGGAGCAGCTATTTCTTAAGGTCAAACTCAAGCTTAGCAACTCTAATTGTGTGTTCTCACTGCCAATTTACTTATTAGTCTTTGTTAATTTTAATTCTAAAAAATAATTTTATCTCAGCAAATCAATCTTCTTCCCCAATGGTGTTGTTTTTAAACTGACTGACTGATTAGCATCCTTTTAGTTTAATAAACTATAAATGGTGAGCCGGTGTTGCTCTCGCACTGGTACCCTCGTCCACTGACCGTTATTTCACTTAGCATGATGAAAAATCACTTATGGTCATTTACATAGCTGGCATGTAAATTTAAAGCAGCCATCCATCGCTGAAATACAGTATGAAATGATTAAAATGGCATTTCACTGAACTCAAAATAGTTGGCCTGGTGTGAGTTTTAAGTAGAGTGAGTTAAACACACTCCCCAAATGATTTCTCTTCAAAGGTATTAAAAAACTGTTATTCGCAGAAGGATTTTCAACAAATAGTGATTATTTGCCCTATAATTAAAACTAGGATGGCTGTGTGACACTGAGAATTCAAAATGGAAAGTTGTTCTCATCCTTCCACCTGGATTGCATTTTTTTTAATGTTCTATTTTCCTGGGAGGGACTCAGCTAGTCTCCCGACTTTGGGTTGCAGATCCTTGGAAAACTATTGTGTCATTTAATAAATTACAGTGGAAAGGGCTGGCCTGAGGGTCTCCCTCTCTGGACCTTTGATCCTACCTGCCCCCGGGCTGGGGAACAGGAGGGGGAGTAGTGATGGTTTGCTGGGAAGGGAGATGCGAGGTCAAGGTGAACGCATCCATCTCCACGTCTTTGTCTTCCCGGCCCTGGGGCCGTCTGGCAGGGACACCCCCGCCTGGGGAGCGGCGGGGTATGCGCCCACCACCTGGAACTGACAAGGAGATTAAGACCATGATGGGTGGCTGCTGGCTCTCAGACTGTCATCTGTATATCTTTGTGGAACCAGATGCTGTCTTGGGTCGGCGGGATTAATTCCAGGCCCAAAGAGTGAAGGGATCAGAGGACAGTCATAGGACCTGAGAATTGGACGGAGCTGTGGCTGCTCCTGCCCGGTCGCACAGAGGGTGGTGGCTGAGCCGGAGACCATGGGTCCTGAAGCCACCCATGTCCCCATCGCCCCTGCGATGGTCACGATGAGGCCCCAGTCCCGTGGTCCCACGGCCCCGCCTTCCTTCTGCATCCCCGCCAGAGCAGCAGGGCCTGCAGGGAGGTGAGGAGACACCCGCTGTCCTGGCTCAGACGTCTGAGGACCGCCGTCCTGGACAGTTAAACCTCATTTCCCGCCCCCAAATCTCCACTCCCCTTCCTCTCCACTGCGCCTCGTCAAGGCGGCCAAGGGGCCGGGGTAGAGACATCTCGGAGGCCACGAAAAGATGCCGTGTAGAGATTACTGCCACTAAGAGCCAGATGGCTCCCCGAGGCACAGTCTAATGACTCCAATGATAAAATACAGAAATCTGGGCCATTTCATCCCCAAACCCCCTCCAGGTAGGAGGGTAAAGTCTCACACCACCACTGCGAACGGCCTTACAGATATGGCACTTCAGAAGCCCTTTTATGTCTTTTTTTTTCCTGTTTTTTGTTTTTCACAGTTGCCACTGCAGCAGTCACGTCCTGCTGAGACCCACGCCGGCCTCGCTACCTACATTCACCAGTCTGCACATCACACGGAATGTGTGTCGCCCTTGTTGATAAACATGCACGGCACTACGTCTGCTCAGGCACATTAAAGATGAGATTGTCTTTAGGAAGTGAGATTGTTTAATACCAGTGTTTCAGTGACCACTCTGCTAGGGCCATCGATGGTACTCCTCCCCGACCCCCATGCAATTTTGCGGAATAATTTTTCTCAAACTGAGAAATGAATCCTCTGTGAAAGCACGATTTGAAACAGTTTGCAGATAAAGCTCATGTTCATACCTTGCAATACATCCCTGGGGTTGGTTCTGACATTATTTCA